TTTGTTTTTCAGAGACTGACACAAAAACACATGTTCCCTTTCACAAATATTATGTTTATAATATCATACCATACTGTATGTTTATGTCTTGTATTTTCTTTAGTTATATCCTGCTCAACGACTACAGATGTAAATGAGCTTTTTAGGAGGTGCAACTGGAGAGCTGAGCACTCTCCCTGTTCAACACCCTGTGATCATGAGACAAAACCAACATCTCTAACTCCTCCTTTCCCTCAGCGTGTAACTACAGCCACATTGTCATCTATTAGGAGTACAAAATGCACCAAAGACCATATATGTGCAAAAGGACTTTGTTTATAACGATAAAAGTCAGACACGCGGTGTTGAAAAAGCTACCAGAAAGCAGTGGCTTTGTCTGTTAGCAAGACTGGAAGTAACAAATGTAATATTCTCAATGATAAATATTTAAAAAATCCCCAGGCCAGGAATTTAACCCAGGGCCTCAGCGCTGTGAGGCAGCACTGGCAACAACCACTGTGCCACCATGCTGCCTTATTTGTAACATGATAACCAAAATATTCTGAATGAGGTCTTACTTGTGTATGGCGCAGTTTTAGTATAACATCCCATGATTTAAATCCTGCACTTTTAACTCTACAGCCTAACTTTGGTTGTTTTTTTGTTGAGAGTTAGGCCACCTCTTGTGAGCAGAACCCATGGGAGTACTCAGCACACCATTCCCCACAAACCAGGAAAGAGCTCAGGACGCCCATGGTGGGGAAACAGAGTACAGAGTGGAGGGTCTTTAAGTGGCTCTTGTCCTTGACAGGTGACACAGTGTCAATATGACACTCAGGCCTTCGTCAAGTAAGGCGTCAGAACACCGCAAACAGATTTTACCATCCACATCCTGTTTCCCCCTGGGGTAAAATCAGATTACAAGAGAGAACTAATTGTATGAAGTAATTATTAGCTTTTCCAGAATCACTGCTGCCAAAGGCGATCGGTAATTAAAGTATTTACACCGCTCAGCTGATTAATGTACTGTAGTCCTGGGAATGCGGAATTGACCAGGAGGTCTGAGAGCCCTCTTTGTTTGACTGGTGGTCTAGTTGTGTCCACTAGGTGGAGCCCTGACCCTCCGCAGGCTGTGTTGATGAATCGCTGCCGGAAAAAGCACCGAGTGGTCGCGAGTGCGTTGGCGTGGGAGGTGTGAAAATGTAGGTCTGAAAATAAATGATTAGGTGCTGGATTAAAAACCTTTACTGTTTCTGTTTCTCTTGGCTGGAATTGGGGAACACGTCTCTTGCAATTTGTAATTCTGTCTTTTCAGGGATTGATTGCTCATGAAGTGGAAACCGCTCATTCATGTAGTAAATAAGTGTTCACATTTACCGGATCTCAGGGGTGGCCAGTTCCAGGCATATAGCCATTCCAATTTCTACCTGCTCAACAAAAAAAAAAAAATATCCCATTTAATTATGAATCAATTTAAGATACAAACAGGATTACTTTCCCCATTTAATTATGAATCAATTTAAGATACAAACAGGATTACTTTCCATGTGTTTTGTTCTATTGCAGAAGTTGTTCTATTTTTCATCTCCTCTAATAGAACCTATTTAACATCCCAAAATGATTGTTAAATGGTTTCTACGCCTGGGCTCTTGTCGTCTCATTTGTCATCCCCCCCCTACCCTGATCAGTGGGAATACAGATGGACCAATCAATCAGGAATCCATCATAATCCATCAATCAGATCGTCCGGCAGTGACCAGCTCCTCTTCTCAAAGTCTCCTGGACAAATTGTCTTCCTCTGTCTTGACCAGCAGGGACATTAAAAGAGGGCGGATTGCAGACAGTGTTGGAAAAAACTGCTCTAATTCCATAAGGAATGGAGAAGTCCCTCTCGCTCAGTTGATAGGGACGAAGGAGAAGGTTATAGTCAGAAGTCCATCGGACCCCTCAAGCTTGCTGTGTTGCTAGTAGCCAGATCTCTTGCAGACACATGTTGAGAGCAGCCAGGGTTCCAGCTGTGACAAGGTGGCTGGCTGGCTTGTCGCAGACTCCCACAACCTTTTGTGTAGCAAAGCCCCTGCAGTTCCCACTTCTGAATCCAGGCTCAGTCTAATCCAGTCCACGGAGATCTGAGGCGTGGAGGTGGCCTGTCTACTCCAGCAACAGGGGCTCGGGATCAAGGTTTTCCCCTTTTTTTCCCTTTAATGCAGGGGCAGCAAACTCTACTCCTGAAGTGCCCTAGTGCCTCCTGGCCTTAATCCAGTCAAGATCTCAGCTACGTAATGGGTCTGAGTAAGCAGTAATCTCACTGAGTGGTCCAATTGACTTGCTGCAGGCTGGAGCCAGAATGTTCTGTCAACAGCTATCTTTCAAGCTGTCGACTATAAAAAGCTGGATTTAGTCGTTGAGTGCTAACCAGAAGGCACTGCAGGCCTCAGCAATGGGAGGAACCCAGGCAGATTCTCTGCAGCTGCTGAGCTCCTTTGCTTCGGTCAAGTCCAACTCATAGTTCAGGAACTGTTTGTCTGGGAGGAGGGTCTTACTGTTCGGAGCCGCTGTCTCGCTTAATCAGAGATCCTAATCCTGAGCAGGATAAACTGGAGGCGTAGCCTCTGACGACATGGGAGCCTCAGCGCCACCAGACCACGCAGAGACAAAACTGCGGCAGTGCGCGTGAGGAGAGACGAGCGACTTGAGCTCGTTACGAACAGGAAAATGGAGGGGGTGGGGCAGTTGTGTCGTTCATGCCGTTTAAATAAATTCTCTCACACGTGAATTGAAACCCATTTCCCCACTGGCTATAAATACTCTGCCACAGCTGGGGCACAGGGTGCCGCTGGCACAGGGCGCAATGTGGACGTAACGTCCTGGTCTCACTGCGCCTCATTCCCATGTCGTTCATCAGCTCACAGCTTCCCCCCAAAAAAACACCATTCCTGAATGAGTGGGAAAGCTCATCCACCTGCAGGATCTGCCCACTGCATGACCATACAGGAGTGTGTGCTTTTGTCTCTTTAAACCATTAGCAGCTTAAAGCAGCAGGGAGGGGTTCAAGGGTCCAGTTGAACTGTGATTGGATCCAACACTGCTGCAAACTCAACAGTGTTCAGCTGTAAACTGCTTGAGGATACAGACCCTGATGTCGTCATCACCCCCAGGAGACCAGGGCTGGGACCCTCTGCTCTGCTTCTTTATTATCGTTAGCACATTCATTGCCATCAACGCTGACGGCAATGGGGCAGCATGTCAAACCAGTCAGCACAGCAGAATAAAAAATCAATACATTTCTAAATAAAAAGGCTTGAGGGCCAGCCCAGCTAGCTGCATCATAATCAGTTGATCATTATTGATTAACATGACTACATAATAATAATAATAATTGCTTACACTTATTATATAGCACTTTTCTGGACACTCCACTCAAAGCGCTTTACACGTAATGGGGATCCCCTCCACCACCACCTGGATGATGCGACGGCAGCCATAGTGCGCCAGATCGCTCCCCACACACCAGCTCTCAGTGGGGAGGAGAGCAGAGTGATGAAGCCAGTTCAGAGAGGGGGATTATTAGGAGGCCATGATTGGTAAGGGCCAATGGGAAATTTGGTCAGGTTCACCTCGGTTTTATGTCTCATCCGAAGTACAGCGACTTTTTACATTATAGTGTCCCCATCACTATACTGGACCATTAGGACCCACACAGACCACAGGGTGAGCGCCCCCTGCTGGCCCCACTAACACCTCTTCCAGCAGCAACCTTGGTGTTTCCCAGGAGGTCTCCCATCCAGGTACTGGCCAGGCTCACACCTGCTGAGCTTCAGTGGGCTGCCAGCTGGGAGCTGCAGGGTGATATGGCTGCTGGCATGTTACATGTTAGCAGTTATCTGTAATACTACGATTAAATCATTTTCTAACTGCTTCTTCCAGACCACGGGTCCTGGAGGAGCCAGAGCCTATCCCAGCAAGCAATGGGCACAAGGCAGCTACAGCCGGGACGAGACGCAAGCCCGTCGTGGGACACACACAGACACACACACTCACAGAACAACATAACAATAAGATTCAGCTATCTTTCTATTGTGGTAGCTGGAAAATTTCACAAACTCTCTTTAAAATGATAACTTTCTAAAATACAATGTCATATGACAGTTAAAAAAAAAACTCAACTGCACCGCACAGCCAGTGTATCTAATTTTGTGTTTCTCTTCCCAGATCCTTGTCAATTTGAGTGGGAACAGGAGGATTTTTGGGGGTGTTTTCACACTCTTCTAAAACATAAGGTTTTGAACTTCATAAGCCAATATACTGGATCTTGAATTGGTATAAGGCATCCCACTGAAATCACCTGTTCATGTCAGAGCAGGTGTATGTGCAAAGGACCGCCTATTTGTGCTGCTCGATTTGCATGTATTTGAATATGCACACAGGAACCCGCGATCAGATGGTTCTGCCGGGTTTTGCACAGGTAGGATTTACCTGCCAGGCCCCGCCCCGTCCCGGCGTGTGGGCGGGGCGAGCGTGGTGGCGCCGCCAATCAGCGCCCGGCTGCATCCCTGGAGGCCGCGCCCCTCCTGGGACCGTGCCCTCCCCACCCGGGGTGAAATGGGTGCAGGCCCCTTTAAGAGGCGAGCTGTCCGGTCAGCGGGGACTTCAGAGCGGAGAAACAGCGCGATGAAGAGCGTCGCCGACCCGGCATCATGCGCCCCCGGCTCTCGAGGACCGCCTGCCTGCTGCGACTCGCTGCCCTCTACATCCTCCTCTCGCGCTCAGCCGCTTATTTCGGGTCAGCCGGGGATATATATATATATTTTTAAATTGGGTTTCCTTTCCTCTCTGCTTTTTCACTCTCTGCTCGGGGCATTAGACCAAGAGGCGTCCTTATAAAGGGCAGCTTACTGACGGGGTGAAAGGTAAAGGCGAAAAAGTTTAATATCTCACATGACGGAGTTTCAGTGAAGTTGCGCTCTTTTTTTTTCACGCTTTGGAAACGCGCACATGGAGGGAAAAGTGTGGATTTCGCGTCGTGTGTTATGAAATTAATTCTCTTAACCCAATCTGTGATACAGTATGTGACAGGACATGGCCTATTTGCAGCAATGACAGTGTTGAAGATGACGACGGCAGTGTTTATCTGCCTGTAATTTCGCTGTCTTGTGTATCGAACAAATCGATTTATTCTCCGTTCTGTAGTAATTCATAGCCATTGGTGATAAGCGGTTTACAAGGCAGAGGCACTGTTAGAACGACTTCATTGGTTTTAATAAACGCTTATGCAGTCGCAGAACACGACTCTGCTGACGCTGGCCAGTTAGGGAAGAGGCACGTTGCTCGTTTCTGGAAATTGTTCAACACTCGTTTGTCATTTTTCTTTCTGCTGCGCTCTTATGTTTTACCTGTGACTGTCTCTGGGGCAGGTCTTGTATTTAAACCAAACAATTACCAACAATTACAACTGCGATTCCTTCTGCCCGGATTTAACTTGCCAGATTGATTCCGAAATCACAGTTGCTTTCAAGGTTACTAGAAGTCGCTACCGTAAACCATGACATGAAATCCTGTATGTACATACGAGCATGCTCATTTTTTTCCCCAAAGAATAATTAAGGTCATAATTTGACCTCGTGCAGAAGGATTCCGGCTTTTTCATTTTTCTCCTTTAAATGAGATAAAGGAGAATCTTTATCCCTTTCTTCAATATGGCAACTGTGGGATATAAAATAGCTGCTGATTAAAATACAACCGACAGTTATCGGAGGGGTTTTAGAAAATCCGCTGTCGCTCAGGAATATGTTACTGCCGACACCAGTTCCGCGCTGGGTTTCTGTGCTCGACAATGCTTTCCCGAGAAATGATTTAACAAATTAATTCAAAGGGCACGATAAAGTTGGTGTGCTTGGAGTTTATGGGACTGCTTATTATGTCTGTTCTATTGTTATAGAAGTACTACGGGGGTTTTGTTTGTAAAACAATCTTGCCACTGTGATTTTATTTCTTCCTAAATGCTACAGATCTGACATTATTATTATTATTATTATATTGTCGAGTTCAGATACTAACGCACTCTTCTCCGTTCTGACTTGACTTATCAGTAGAAATAACGGATGGAAAATAATGCTTATTGTTTATCTGGTTTATAGAGATGTAATTAGTTTAATATAAATTATTGACAGAAACAGATGGCCATGATCTCCTCATAATAATAATAATAATAATAATAATAATAATAATAATAATAATAATAATAATCACGTTGGCTACTTTAGATACGGGTTTTTCTTGCGAGTTCCTTTTGTTTTTGTTTTATTTGACAGTGTTGTTTTCCGGGCCGAATGCAATAATTAGGAATAAATCAGATCACGTTCTAATTCCTATTTTACTTTTATCGTTGGTCGCCAGCCGAGACGGGAAACCGCTCAGACTCACTGCCCGCACGCACGGGCTCGGGGGGCGCGTCCCCGACTGCGCGCCGAGGACGCGCCCTGGGTGACCCCGCGGGGCGCCTCTGTACGGCACTGCTCGGACAATCGCCCAATTACGCGGTTATGAGCCGCAAAACTTTTACCTCCTTCACAGATACATCGCCTTTATTTCGGGCCGGTGTTCACCTGACTTAGAGCGTTAACGTTTTTTTCCCATCGAAACCCACGACATTTTCCCGTTTCGAAAAGAAAAGAAAAAGTTTTAACCTTTCGTGTGAAAGCTAAGCGCGGCTTGGTTGTATTGCCAACAAACATGCCACGGGAGCCTTCTGATATTAATAATCAACCAGATCCGAACTTTTCAAAATGTTTGAAAAATAGAAATATAATTAATTTACTGTACTAATGTATTGATATCATTATAATGCAATAGTCACAAATATTAGATATAACAAAACAATCATAGTCGCTGGGTAAAGCTATCAATATTTATAATTAATAATGGTAATATTGTTATTAATAAAATTAAAACACAGTTAATAATAATTGATAATAGTACTACTACTAATAATAATAATCCTGTACGAAATGTGCAAATGATGAGTTCATTCCTTTAGCGAGAATGATATACATGTTTATCTTGAATTTTGACGGATATCACGATTTATCTGAACGTCGCCTAGAGAGTTTCCCCCAACTAAAAGCTTTTCTTTTAAAGCAGTGAAGACAACACCCAGGGGCGCGTGTATCTTGCTACGTCGCAAGAAAATACTGATTATGATGAAAACAATAAGCTCGTGTCGGGGACCGGCAGGAAGAAATTTCGTTCTTGGTGTTAAAACATTCGCTGGGACTTCTGGGTCACCGCCAATAGTCCGGTCCCGGTTCGGGCAGAACGCGCAGGAAGGCGATGTAGATCAGGGTGCCGCAGGATTTGCTCTTTCGTAGCCGTGTGAATTGCACAGACCCCCTCAGAAGGGAAAAAAAGCAATAGGCACAAAAAAACTCCAACGCAAAGACGGAGCAGGTCTAATCTTTTCCGTTTCTGTCCTGTTGCATCTTGAGGCTGAACTAAACCCAACTTTTCGAAAGAAAAGTTCGGAAAACAAGTACCGCAAGTACCAAAGCACAGAGGCTTTCGAGATATTTCTTTCGTCCCAAACTAATGTATTTCACTGTTTTTTAAATGAAACCAATAAGCAAAGCTGAGAACCGACGAATGTATTGATTCTATAAATGCTGCGCGACCTTCTGTAATGAATTTAATTGATATTGTGCGATATCACGGGGTGACGTGAGCAGCGGTTTCGACTGTTGAAAAAAAAAACAAACTTTTAAGAAACTCAAATCCAGGCGAGCGCCACAGCCTTGCTGCAGGAGCCCCCAGTTACCGACGCCTCCTCTCTCCCCCCCGGCAGGCTGACGGGCAGGGAGCCCCTGCCGGCGGAGCCCTCCTCCTCCTCCTCCTCGGAGCGGGCGCACCTGAAGCAGTGCGAGCAGCTGGCGCTGAGCCGGCGGCAGAAGCGCGTGTGCCGCCGCGAGCCCGGGCTGGCCGGCGCGCTGCGCGAGTCCGTGCGCCTCGGCCTGCTGGAATGCCGCTACCAGTTCCGCCACGAGCGCTGGAACTGCAGCCTGGACGGGCGCGCCAGCCTCCTCCAGCGAGGTAACGCCGACCAGTCCAACACACACACACACACACCAGGCAAACAGCCCAGTTAAAACCCCGGGATCGCGTTTGGGGAAAGAACTGTGAGAGGTTGAGCCCGAATTCGGTCAAACGCAGGCGGTACGAGAGGTTCCCAGAATGGCCAAACTGCTTTGATGAAGTATTGTGAAGTAATGCTGCACACTGGTGGTGGTGGAGGGGATCCCCATTACCTGTAAAACACTTTGAGTGGAGTGTCCAGAAAAAGCGCTATATAAGTGTAAGCAATTATTATTATTATTATTATTATTGTTGTGTTTCTGCCATAAACTCGGGGTCTCCAATTCGGCATGTGTCACGGTGCGCCTTGTGTAGGTCAGAGGCTGCTAAACAGAGCGACGCGAGTCTGAGGTCGATCCGGAGAGACGCGCACGTCGCCGTCAGCTTGCAGACGAGTGTACCTCGCAGCGATCGAGTGAGAGCGAGTTTCGGGTACGGGGAGACTATTCCAAAACTTGGGACCCCCCCTTCCGCGAACTCAACTGAGGAGCCGGGAGAAATTGGCTGGAGCGGTTTCATCTCACTGAACAGCCGCCGGAATATTCACAGTTCACGCCGGCCAGAATCATGACGAGAGTTCGAGTTGGTTTAGATCGTTCCCGGACAGCACAGCAGCATTTAAAAAGAGCCAAGATAAGAAATGGCTCACAGCTGTTGTTTTCAGAGGTTTCATGCAAAATTTGCCGGAATTGATGAACCACAACGTAAAATAATGCTACTCGGTCTTCAGAACGTATTTCGCCCCCTAGTTTGTGTTTTTGCCCTTTTCAGAAATGACGCTCTAAACTTCTTGAAAATGTTCAGCAGGTTATAAGAAGCTCCAGTCCAAGAGTAGAGTCAGACCGTTGCCAGTTCTCAGGTTTCTCTCTCGGCTGCCTGTTTGGACTGTAAGGTGCAATGGGAACTAGGTACTGCTTATTTCACATTTAATATTGATTAAATTAAAAAAGGCAAAGACCTGCCGATCACAGACGATCACGGTAAAGCGCACCCAGTTAAAGACCTGAGATCACAAGAGGATTTCTGCGTCGCTGTCCTACACCAGCGGGGTATTTTTAGCTCGGAAAAGAGCCCAGTTCCCAGAGGAAATGGGAGGCAAGATTGCTCGCTTTCATCTGGGAAAAAATCCTTTCCTAGTCAAAATAATAATTAATCGGATCAAAATACTCCCTTGTGACGGCTGGAGGCAAGGCGAGCACCAGGGAGAGCCAGGCGGGGGGAGATTACCAACGGGGCACCCCGATAAATATCTAGGATGCCCCTTCAGGCGCTGCGTGTGAAGAAGAGACCAGGCAGACGTGTGCTGCTCAGGAGCAGAGTTCACCGTGCTCGCTCTCTTTGCCATGACCTCTCACATGAACAGGAAGCACAAAGACCGCGGATTCGCTGGCACAGTGGCACGGTGGTAGGCACTGTTGCCACGCAACGCCGGGGCCCGGGGTTCAATTCTGGACCTGGGGTGCTGTCTGTGTGGAGTCTGCACGTCCTCTTTGTGTTTGTGTGGGTTTCCTCCAGGCACTCTGGTTTCTGCCCACAGTCCAATGACATACTGGGGGGGGTTAGCAGGCTTCTGGGAGGAACTGGCCCTGGTGTGAGCGTGGTTGTGCCTGTCAGCGTCCTGGGACGGACCGACATCCTGCCCTGTTGCATGATGGGACAGGCTGTGGTCCCCCCGGGGCCCTGAGTCGGATGAAGGAGTGAGCCGGGTGATGGATTGTGGATTATTATCAGACAGGGAGGGAACGCGCGCACTCAAGGTCAGGTGGACAGAAACAAGGAGACGCGCCGACAGCCGGCACCGTGTGCGTCCAGTGCGTACCCATGTCTTCTCCCCCCAGGGTTTAAGGAGACGGCCTTCCTGCTGGCGGTGTCCTCCGCCGCCCTGTCCCACGCCCTGGCCAGGGCCTGCAGCTCGGGGCGCATGGAGCGCTGCACCTGCGACGACTCCCCCGAGCTGCAGCACCGCGAGGCCTGGCAGTGGGGCATCTGCGGCGACAACCTCAAGTACAGCACCCGCTTCCTCAAGAGGTTCCTGGGGCAGAAGCGGGCCGGCAAGGACCTGCGGGCCCGGGTGGACGCGCACAACACCAACGTGGGCATCAGGGTGAGTACGCCTCGCCTCGCCCCCCCCCCCACCACCACCGGCCTCGTCCGGGGGCCCCTCTGCAGCCGCCATCACCCCCCATCCGCCCGGCTCAGCACAGGAACGTTACGCTTCCCAAGAGGAGGCCGGCGCAGCTCCCCGCTGGCACAGAACAGGTTAACAGGCCTGAGCAGCCTCCCCCTTGCGGGTCTTTCCGGAAACGCCGGGGCCTCGAGCAGCTCTGCCAGCCCAGGAGAGACGGGGGGCGCGCGCAGCCAGGTGTTTTCAGGCAAGATGAAGCTTGCTTCATGCGCCGTTGGAGATGAAAGAGCCCGCGTCGGGGGCCTGCGCGCGCTGTTGTCGCAGCGTTTTCATACGTTTTCATAGACACGCGGCGTGTAATTTACGACGGTGAAGTCAGCCAGCCCGCGCCCTGTCCCCCCGCCTCGGAGACTCTCTTAAAGCACCAGAACCAAACGTGTGTAAGCACTGCTCTTGCAGTCTGTGGCAAGGAAAATGGCAGTCTTTTCTGTCTGAAAGCAGGGTGCCCACTTGCACTGCTCACTGAGCGGTCTGAGCTGGTAGAGTAAGAAATTATCTACACCTGAAAATCCAATCAGGTCAGTTATTATTCACAGTAAACTACCTGATCCTCAGTATACTTCTGAAGATAAATCTTTCTTATGATGGCCACACAATTCATTAAAGAAACTTCGAAGAGTGCCAAGTGAACATGTAACCAGAGAATGAAACACTAACATGCAATCTATCCATCTGTTATACAGTATGCACCACATGTGGCCCATGCTTAGACCTTGGGAGCAGGAATCGAATCCTGGGGGAACAATTTAATATAGCTGACCAAACCTAAGCAGCAAGTCTTTGGAAGGTGGGAGGAAACCAGAGAACCCATGTGGCACTGCAGAGAACATGCAAACTCCACACAGAAGGCAACCCAGGCTGAAGCATGATGCAATAATTAATGCCAAGTTATATATGCTGTTTTATACAACTTGTTCATCATGGTTCATGGACCTGATACACAGTTTAACTAACCTACAGTCGGATTGAGATCCTTTGTTCAAGCTCAGTAGAAGCTCACTAGTATCACTTTAGCTCCTGGGAGGACATTGCAAAAAAATAAATGACATCTGCTCCACCCCTGGTAGTTGTCATGGCGGGACAGAGGTAATGATTGACTTCTCTGTTATTGGTTATAATACACAAAGCCCAGAACACAGCTAGCATTGCTTTATCAGCTGTGACATGCCAGCAGAACACACTAGTATTTCACCCAACACTGAAGGTTTAGCCCACATTGCTCTCATTGGGGATTCATGGTGGAGACCATGTTTTTCTTTTCTTCCACTGTAGGGTGCATGGGGCAAGGCAAGTGTTGCATTATACCGATCTCCTGCAGCATGCTCTAAATCCTTACAGCGAGTGCAGGGGGGGGCATCTACAAGCCCATTTAACCTAAACCTTACCTGGCTCCTCCATAAATTCTCCCAAGCCAGGCTGCTAGCCAGATCTCAACACTCACCCAACAGGGCATTCAGAATGCGGAACAGAAAAAGCATCGTCCATCTTCCCCCTTGGGTCGAGGCACCGATCACACATCCGTCTGTGGGTAACTGGCCACGATCTCCAGTCGAGCCCATTAACATGCTGAGACACAGCAGCAGGTAGCGGCCCCTGCGAGTGATTACTCTCTAAGCAAGGGCCCTCAGGGCTCATACCTGCACGGTGTGGAATGGAGCTGACCTCTAACACTCTTCAGTTCAGGGCCGTTCCTGCCGCTGGGAGACCTGACCTCTCCCTGTCCTCTGCCTTCCCCGGTGCTTTTTTTCTTTTCTAGCTGACCGCTCCATAGCTATTCCTCCCCGCATTTTAAACTCTGATTAGCGCCGCCATGAATAAGGAGCCCCCCCGGGGACCCGCGCCGCCTCACGTGACCCATCTGCGCCTGTTGCCAGATTCGTTCTGGCCGTTCCTGCTCCTGCAGTATGTTTCGGAATTAAAAAACAACAACAACCAGTCTCGCAAAGCCTTTAATCAACGACTGGCTGATGCTTCCCAGAAGAAGCGTTTCTCTTAAGCGTCTCGGTTTTCAAGCAGCCCTTCCTGATTCTCTCCTGCCTTTTCACCACTAGACAACGGTAACACATCCTTCTGACTGTAACTTAAATTTATACACTGATTTTATTACTTTTTAGGTTAATTAATTTTACAATTAAATTTCGGAGGATCACCTTTCTGAATCTTTGCCTGGAAGTGTGACATATACAGTGCACACTCCCAAACAGCCAAAAATAATAACTGGGTTACAGAATGATTTCTAAAGCCTGATTTATCTGAGTGTTTTTATCTCATTTACTTGGAGCTCAGTGTAACATTTTGCATAAATCCCCCCAAAAACTGCAATCAGAGACTCGAGACGGATGTTAATGTTTGTTTTGCAACCGACCTCCTATTTTGCCTCTTGAAATCCGTGCTGATAAATTTTCTGACAACAGCAAATGCCACGTTATTCACTGAAATTGGTCATTTAGGTGTTTTGCGCCTATTTTTATAAATAAACCAGCCATGCCGTTGCAGTTAACTGTCCACAGATCCGATTCTTCCACTGAAGCACAGCAGCCACAGCTCTTGTTGTAAAATAGAAAAATGATCAAAAATAAAGTGGCCAGTTAGGTGAAGGGGTAGGTGACGTGCTAGGGAGAAAGGAGGGAAGAGGAAAAAGAGCACGAAATTCAAGACGCATAAATTCAGAATTATTATTGGGTAGTAAAAATAATCCACCTCTTCCAATATCTCTCAAAGACCTCCTCCTGGAGTCTGAACTGATTGGTCAAAATAAATAACACATCCTTCCACTTACATAGCTCTTTCCTGGACACCCCACTCAAAGTGCCGTACAGGCAATGGGGAATCCCACTGCCGCCACCAATGTACCCCCACCTGGATGATGTGTCGGCAGCCGGAGCGCACCAGTCCGCTCCCCACACACCAGCTACAGGTCAGCTAGCTGTAACAGTGTCAAGCCATCGGCAGTGGGGTTCGTGGGTGTAGTTAGCGATTCCAGTTTTTGGTTGGGGATACGCCTCAAGGGCAGCAGTCAATTGCGAGCTCAGCGGCTCGTGCTCCGGGCACCGTGGCCTGACCCCCCGCTCTCTCTCTCTCTCTGCACCAGGCGGTGAAGAGCGGCCTGAAGACCACCTGCAAGTGCCACGGGGTTTCGGGGTCCTGCGCGGTGCGCACCTGCTGGAAGCAGCTGTCCCCCTTCCACGACACGGCGCGCCTGCTCAAGTTCAAGTACGACTCGGCGGTGCGCGCGCTGAGCGTCACCAACTCGGCCACGGGCGAGCCGGAGCTGGCGGGGCCACGGCGGCAAGGGGGCAGCCCCCGGCCCGCCGACCTGGTCTACCTGGAGGACTCGCCCAGCTTCTGCCGCCCCTCCCGCTACTCCCCCGGCACCGGCGGCCGCCCCTGCGCCAAGGACACCAGCTGCCACAGCCTGTGCTGCGGGCGCGGCTACAACACCGCCCTGCAGCACAGCACCGTCTCCTGCCACTGCCAGGTGCGCTGGTGCTGCCATGTGGAGTGCCAGACCTGCCTGAGGGAGGAGGAGGTGTACACCTGCAAGCCCTGAGACACAGGGAGCAGGGAGGGGGAGAGAGGAGAGCCCGCTGGAACAAAACAGAAAGAGAGGGGCGGGGGGGGAGATGGAGAGGGATAGAGAGGGGGGAGTTCTTGACAGCTACAGGGAGAGAATTATAAGGGAACTGGGGAAGAGGCAGGGACCGTCCGTGTGGAAACGTAGGCAGAGCAAGGAGGCACGAGGAGAGAGGGATCTGGGCAAAGAGGGATGACTCGGGCTCGTCAGGAACGACGAGGGAGACGGGCGAGCACGCCAACACGAGGAAGGTAAAGGGAGGGAGCAAGGGAAGAGAGAGGAGCTCCTGGTCTTTCTTGCATCATTTCACTAGCACAATGCCGCAGGAAGCGGAACTGGCTCTCACCAACTGCTCCGTTCCTAGACTGCGACGCAGCCAAAAAGCAGAGACTTGGGAGGTGTTCTTAACTGACTTCCAGTGGCAACCTTGAATAACCCAGGAGGGAAACCACTGCCGTCCCTGCGCACATGTGTCCACTCCCAAAATACTTTCTTTTAAAAGCCGTGGAACAGCAGCAATCTGAGGATCTCTGTGCGCCATCGTCTTCTAACTATTCTCTCGTTCTCTTTCTAAGCCCGTGAGCCTGTCCTGTGCTCCAGATGGACAGGTCACCTTTTCGACCTTGGTGCTGACAGTCCTCGCGCTGTCAGAATGGAGTTGCACTGTGATGCCGATTTGATTACACTTTGAAGACGCGGACGGAACAAGTGACAAGTGAGCTGAACATTAAGCGGTTGTCCTAGACGCGTCCAGATTTTGTCTTGAGAGGAACGTAATACAGTAATCCTTTACTGGACCTGATGAAAGGTTCTTCACTGCCTCAGGTCTCTGGGTTCCCCATATGTGTAGACTGCACTTTAGACAAGGTACTGTATGGTGGTCTATCCAGGGACGAGTGCGGTGCATTGGAATGGCTGCTATCAGTAGCTCAAACCCTCTATTAGTATGTTTCTCACGGTGCAGAGAATTGACTGTCTCTCTGCGTGTCTGTTCTTTTGCTTGTCTGTTTTTCTGTCAATCCACAAAAAAGGGATTCATACCACTGGGATTTATACCACCTTATGTGTAAGATGAGCTTCAAGGGGCACATTCAAATAGAAGAATAAGAAGCACTTAAATATGAAAAGCCCGGGAGCTGTTTTAAATAAAATACCACAGAAAGGCACACTTCAGATCAACGCAGGCAGTCACCCAGTGGGGTCTGTCTGGAGCCCCCATGATCCTGCTGTGTATGAGAGTGGGTGTGTCTCGCTTTTTAATATAATGAAGGCGGTGCCAACGGTCAGTCTTAAACTGGCTTCTAATGGTCAGGCTCATAGGATTAAATATTGATAAGGAGGTGAATGCATTTCCTTGCACTGTCTAATTCAGTAATTTATTCCATGATATTGACATCTGTACAGTCAATGCTTGTTCCATTGCAGCGATTAACCATGCTTTAACTGGCTGTATATTTCTGTGCCATGTGTGTCTTGCAATTAAGATTTTATGACCGTCCTTTCCAAACTTTACAAGCTATAGTACGCTACAGGTATAACAAGTCAGTCAGCTAGACGACGTCTTCAGTTACAAGGACTTACAGTAAACTAACCTAATCACATGGATCTCGTCTGGTTGCTGTTCTGACTTCTGTATATTTTGTACACAGGTTCAACATGCATGTCTGCAATCATATGTAAAGATATCTGTTGTTAAATGGCCGATAGCTTATTCGGGGTTCTGCTCTCAGTCAAACAAAAGACCCGACTTCTGCAAGGATCCATTGAGGAAACCCAGACACAGTGGCTGTTAAGACTTAAGAGTAGGTGCTTTGCATCAAGTAAATAGCTAACTTTCAAAACCTTGTATTTATTTTTAACAGGACAATTAATTGTCCTCAGAGAGCCAAAGATCAAGCAATATTTCCTTATTTTCTGCAATCTTCGTAAAGGAAAAATGCCATTTAACATTACCAACAGTAATGTCCCCACAGACTTTTTGTCTTATATAGCATTTGCTTTTCAAGTTGCTCATTATCTGGGTTCTGGTTTTAACAATGAGCACAAATTGCACCATTTATCTTTGATAAAACAGACCTCGTTCTCAATGACGAAGGGGAAAATGTCCTAACGTGTTCTTGTCACGTGATTTTTACTTTCCGAGTAAACGTGTTTGTTTCTTTAATTGTCAGAATGCTGACAGTGTGCCCATGAGCTGAACTGTCTCCCGAATTTCATTTCCAAAAGCCAAAGAGCCCACAAAGATGAAACTCAGCTGGGTAGCGCTCCTGTGTTCAGTTTATATAGGTTCTCACAGCACTTTAGGATTCATTTGATCAAGCTAAAATCTTGTCAAAACAGACTGACCCCCCCCTCCTTTCCCAAAACCTGGATGTTATTAAGAGTATTACATCTTCGCTGTATCAGACATCTGTTTTCATTGGCACACAGTCAGGATAATCACAGACAGGTAATTGATGCATAGCAGGAAATTCCCCTGAGTTGTTCAAATAGTCTGATAAAATTGGCCACACTGATTAAGCTGTACCTTTTGCATTTACTGTAAACGTGCCCAAAAAAGGTACACCACTTTGCTTCACTCGGAGAATCTTCTACTGACGACTTGGAGGAGCAAACATTTAGCACAGTGTCTGGCCTCTAAAACTGCTCTATTGAGCACAGACCAGCAAGCCCCCTCACTCAATGATCAATAGACATTCAAGACACAGGGCCCCCTTCATAGGATAGTAAGAGCACAAGCAAGGTTAGAAAGGAGAGGATGCTGTTGTGTTTAGCTGTAAGTAGCTAATTGTTCCAAATACCTCATTCAGCCAGTATCACAACCATGACGACAAGCTGGTCCCACTATACCTTAACTGGTTCATTAGTTTAAATACACCTGTCCTGGTTTAGGCCCTGATTACAACTTCAGGAGATATAAAAACTCACCCAGTGATTTAAGATTGGGAGCTCCTGGGGCAGATCAACTGTGCTGAAAGAACACAGTCAGCAGTAGGTTTTACGTCTCTCCTTAGATCCAGGCTGAAGATATTGCAGTGTGCTAAATCACTCCAATCCAACCACTGACTTAAAAATTGGGAACAGCTCAGGTGAAATAAAAACCAGACACCCTCTATCCACTACTCTAGCCCCTCAATTAATTATTTCAGTGCAATTCAGAGAAAAAAATAAAACCTGTATCTCAAAACTGAATGACTATACCAGCCACGTTCAGGTCAGGTCAAACTCTGATTTCAAAACAGCATGTTTAACAGCATGATCCACTGCCTGTGTCTCTTAAATGGATGTTTGTTTCCTTCATCTTGGTTTATAAGGTACCAATACTCTTCATTGTAAGTTATAAAATAATCCTACTTTGTACATTATTGCTGTTACTCATATTCTAGCATTTTGCAAAAATAGTTTCTACAAATGCTTTTAAAATCAAATGCAACTTCTAAATAGGAAATATATCCGTACTGACACACTAGAAACTTTCCCATATGTACTGCGTATCTGATAGAGGGTGTTCCAGAGAATCTTTGTACATTAGAGGAAGGATCGTTTCAGGATGAATGTTTTTACACTGCGGCTCAAGACTTCTGGAACAAGGGAATTTATATCCAAATTTTATTTTTCTACCTCATTTGTACAGCCTCTAGACAAAGAAATATTTAAATTATTTATCTGCTTTATATATACAAATATATATGTAGCCTGTGCATCTTTAATGAAATGAAATCCAACAGATTATTTTCTAGACATTACGTACATGTTGCCTGGGTTGTACATAATGATCTTTACTTTATGTGATATTTTTTAAAGATATATATATATACTATATTATGTTCTTATTTAAGTGCAAAGTATTGGTTAAATAAATGCATTTCTTTGTAAAAAAAGCTATACTGATTTTTTTTTGTTTATGGAAGTGGTTACCAATGAATCAAACGCTTCTTTAAAAAACTATTCCGCAATTTAAACTCTAAACGGTGGTTGTAAAACCCAGCCCACACCGCCGTCGTCGGAAACGCTAACGTTGTCAGCCTGCATGGCTGGAGACTCACTCCTCATTGCCCATCATTGCCAGAATGTTTAAACTATTGGCAATTCCACATTTGGTGAGTATGTAATAATATAGACAGTATATAATAATAATGGTGACTTCGTAGTTTGTAAAAAAAATCAATGCACAATGGCTGAAGACTGGGACACACAATAGTTAAGGTCAAGGTTCCCAAGTCAGTTGAGCAGGTGGTATTACTGCCCAAGAAGAGACGACAGAAAAAGCCGCTGGTGTCGGGACTATCCTTACAGCAGACACAGTACAGAAGGGTAATTTTGTGTACTGGGATCTTGATCTATTCACAAGTCAACGACAGCTTAGCACAGAGGCATCACAGCGATATTGTACGGTACGTACAATAGGTATTCCAAAATTCTCACGTTAAATCAAATGCCAGATCTATATTACAACCAGAGCCTTAATTATGTGACTTTATTAATAATAATCATTATCATTTGTAAATTTTTCCGTTTGTGTCCACAACCATGATCGGGAGCGACAGTTACACTCAGTGGCCTACCTGTCAGGCTGCTCCAAGGACGTGAATCGATTCTCGGGACCCCTGGGGCTGTCTTCCATCTATTCGCCCAGCCAGAACCATCCTCGGCTCCATATTCTATTGAAAGCAGGTGGGAAGAATGAGACAGGTTGGAACTGTAGGTATTTGACAACCCTGCGGACTGCACACCACAGCCTGATCAAACTGCTCTTGGCGTTTACAGACCGAGAACCCTAATTTTTTGGCCAGTGAGAGTATTGTTCCACAGATCCTCAGGGATTCAACATGCCTGCCCCTATTTAAATTTAGTTCAGTCATTTTTTAGTTTACCCATGCTGTTCTAGTTTCTTACAGAACACCACACATTATTTCGTAACATCTGTGCACTTTACAGTTCTTTCATCATGATGTCACCACTACAATTTGCTACTTTTGTTTTACAAAGGAATGCCACAATAAACATTCAGAAATGAAACCACTGTTTGCTGTTTTGACCCTCTCTTCCTGTCACAAACACACACCTGCCCCAAACTGCTGACACGAAATCCTCTTCACTAATTGTTTTTTTAATCATCTAACCCAAACTTCCTTTCATCTGGGGGTGGAAGGGCTTCTTGTCGTGTTCTGTCCAGCACACACTCACACACACACTCGCACAGCTACAGGTGTTTCACCCAAGGCTAATGAATTAGCTTCCTCTGTGTAAACACACACACAGCTACTGATCAGAAAGCCCCCCACTGCCACAGGCTGCCTGTGCTCTGATTCTGACGATGCCTGGCATGGATTAATACTGCTCCTCTGTAATCAGCACTGCCTCCTGTCCCAGAGCTGCAGTGTTCAGGAGAACAGAAACTGACCTCAATGAATATTAATAATGAAGAAATAATGCATGCAACCTTTCCTGTCCAATATCTTGCAGTATACACTGGGCACACAATAATATTATTACTAATAAGACCTGAGGACTGTTGGATATAAGAGAATCCTTTCATGGGATTTTGTCAGACAAGCTCTGTGGAAGCAGGATTGCCTTCACCGATTCAAACAGTGCTGATAAAGACTGAGGAGCGCCGCTCTGAAGACCATATGAAGAAAACACAGCTGACTAGGGTGCGCACACTTTATGCATCCTGGAAGGATGAAATTTAGTTGTCAGCGCAGCTCATAGACATAAAAGATCACACAAACACAACAACTGCACCAAAACCAGACACTGGCACCACTGATGAACCAATGCAGTGCGCTTTTTCTAAAACAAGAACAGTATAAAAACAGTAAACGTCCGAATTAGGATTGTTTTAGAGTTATTCGGGGCTCAGACAGCAGTGGGCACAAAGGATCTCCTAAACCTCTCCGTGGTGCATCAGGGAGACAAGAAGAAACAGTGAAGAGGCTTTATCCCCGTATGGAGAAGGTGCCACAGATGTCTTCAGGATCCATGTCTGTACGCTGTCCTCGTCAGACCCTAGCTGTGTCCCAGCAAGGGGGCCAAACAGCACTGCTGCACAGGACAAAGTGGGAGCGAATTCCAGCCGTCACCCCTGTGCCCCCCCTCTTCACCCTCATTCCCATTCCCCATCTCCCAGCCCTCTCCCCCCTTCTCTCCACCCAGCTCGGCTCCTTCCTCCCTCCCCCGTCCCCAGGCGAGCTGGATGTGGAAAGAGAGCCGCTGAAAGACGGGCGAGTGTGGAATCCATTACTACAGCACCTATCAATTATCTGTCCCCCAGCGCGCCTCTCATCCAATCACACTCCTGCCCACAGGTTAGCGAATTACAGGCTTGGCAAGGCGGCAAACCACCGCTGAACCTCTTTTTGGCAAATAACTTAGTTTTCCTTTCATTTATACCTGAAGGGAGGTGGGTTCCTCTGAAGGGACTGCTGTGCATCTGTAGATACAGTAAGCAAAGCTGGAGCAACACTTGGTTTGCCAGTCATCCCGCAGGGTGAAGCATACTTGTGTTTAACGTAGAGACTTCTTTTCCCCAGGTACTTGTTCCCTCTTCTTGTCCCAGGTGGGAAATTTGCTTTGCAGGCAGGTAGAAGACATAACACTACACCCAGTACATCTAAGGCAACACAAACCCATTAACTAATAAGAGACATACAGTACGTGCATGATGAGAAAGAGAACAACTTGTGACATAAAATACACAATCAATTGTCCAGATGAAGCAGATTAATAGACAGTCCTGTTGCAGTTGAATCTGGATAGTCTAAGTCAATGCCCAGGTGGAAGGAGCTCAAATTCAGTGTGCAAGGGGTGGTGGTGACGTCATTGATATTACTGGCCTTCTGCACTACTTGTGTGACGTGGATGTCTGACAGCAGTATCTGTTGTGCACACAGAAATAATCTCGCTTTAACAATCCGGCTCAGGCTGTTTTTGCCCGCTACCACTCACCGGTACCAGGCTAGCGCAGTGACTGTTAAGGACACGTTTGCAGCAAGACGGAGCCTGAGCAGTCCGGGGAGCAGAGAGACATCGGCGGGCGCAACGCGGCGTTTCAGCACGAAACAGCTGGCGTTCACCGCGCGCCTGCCGTGTGTGCGTCACGCAGGTGTTGCACGGGGTTCTGACGAACGTTCGGGAGGGATGAAGGCAGCCGGGCTCGTGTTAAGCTCAGCTGCCGCAACTCGCAATTAAACCTGACGTCATTGCCTCAGCTCACACAGTTACTGCACCACCTCATGTTCACCTGTGCAGCTACCCCTTGGTCACCTCTTCACCAAACACGGGGGGTCCTAGCCTCTCCGTCCCATGGCCCTAAGGCAAGCGGGGTTTCGGTAACTTCAATAAACGGTTCTACAGTCACACAGTCTTCAGCTGCTGTCGTTCCTCGTGAATGCCAACTACAACTGCTGTAGGGTAGTTGACCAGCCGCGCTGCGACTATAACAAATCTCTCTAATAACAGTGCAGACGCATAGTTTTTATTTAGAGTTACATTCCTGAACAGTGCCCAAACTGAAAAGGCAGTTCAGGTAAGGATGAACTGAGTGGGTTTTGGTCCCGTCCCAGGGACTCTGAACTCATACTGACCAGAGTTTGGGTGCATTTATTATTTAATAGTTGATTCAAGGATGTGTTTTAACTCAACGCTTCCTTTCATTCTTCACGACATCATCATCGTCATGAGTTACAATGTTGCGGCTTTCCGGTGAACTGAAAACTGAATGATATCGCATACAGCGCGACTTTTAGATAGTCCTATTTTATCGTCTGCACCCGGGAGACTGTACTTTAGTAGGTGAAAGGTTCAGAAACGTTTTGTAGCAGACAAATGTGCCAAGCATCGTCCGTGAGTCACGTTAGGTATACAGATATATCAGCAACAAAATTTGGAGGCAACAAATTCAGCATAAAAGGAATAGAGAGCTAGGAGCTACTAACGTCCCAGAACAAATCTGACAGTCTTTTCCCCCAGATCCAATCCGTCTTTCTTTTAGAGTAGCGCGGTCCCTGCGTGCAGAAGTTATCGATTGCACAAATGAGTGAGAGTCAGTCTGCATTCTCCATCACTTCAACCGCCACCAAAATGCCCCCAGACATTCAAGGATTAGGAGTCTTTCAAACTGTCGCGCAATTGGAAGTTCCTGATGGTCTGAGCGTCGCAGGCGCTGTGCAGAGGTCGGGGAGATTCGGACACGAATTCCGTTGGCAGGCAAGGAAAGAGCGCTCTGCACTACCTGGGGAAAGGACGACAGCAATCGACCTTTAAAAGGTTCTAATTAAACTGAACGAACCGCCTCCATCCGCTTAGGAGCCGAGAGTCAAGAAAGCAGACGAATAGAAACACTGCGCGATACAGGTAAATGAACTACACGGTAATTCAAATGTATTTACACTGAAACGGGAATGTGTCATACAAGTAAATGATGTGCAGTCCCACATATAATCTGCTTAATGAAACATGCAATGACATCACAAGACTATTTACCATAAGAGATTATATGTTGCCAGTTTGAATTGTAATCACATATCTGATAATGGTTGTTAATAATAATAATAATATTAATAATAGGTGTTTAAGGGCATCTACACAATTTACTTATAAGATATTCTTTGAGCAGTATAAAAACACTGAACTTACAGTGCACTTCATGTACCTGTATTTGAAAGCTCTTCTAGAGTTGAGGTTAGTGGCGAGGGGGGGATCAGTTTGAAGTCTAGCTCAATGAATGAAGAGCATGCAGAGATCGGCTGAGCTGAGCCCCCTTCCAGCAGCTCTGGGGAACAGCGCAAGTGATCAGTTGTCCTTGCTCATATTAGCAGTGCTTTGCCAATATTACATGTGAATTGAGCATAAAGAAAAACTGAGGGAGGGCAAACAGGGCCAAGAAATGACCCAGCCATCTTGAGAAGTGTTGCCCCCCCAGGCAGGAGTCAGGCTGGTGTCCTGCCACCCCAGTACTGTGGATCGGAGAGCCGGGCTGCGTCGGGGAGGGGTATTCGCTCCCTTGGAGACAGAAGGCCTCAGGCCAGGCTGATCTCACAGCTGTTTATGTTGTTTCAGATGAAGTTCTAAAGCTCTCATTTCCCTGCCACTTCTGCGTCTCCCACCCCCTTCCTGGGCTCCAAGGATCTGGACCCTGGATTCTCACGCACTGTCCCGTCTGAAGCAGAATGGTGGGGGGGCGGGGGGGGGGGCAGCTCTCTCCCCACCTCTGCAGGGGGAGAGGTGTCAGGCGACACCCCCGGCTTGGATCTTAGGCAGGTGAAGTAGCTGATCTTGGCTCTTGACCCACGTGGAGTATCAGGCACACTTTCCTGTAAATTGAGTGGGTGGGTGGGGGCTGAATTCAGCGGGTGTCCCCATTTTATCCCTTGTGTTAACAAACAAACCAGGGAAAAAAGGGCCTCCAGAAGAAATGAAAACTCCCTGAGCCTCATTCGCTCGCTCGCTCGGCGACGTCTGGCACCAAACCCGAAAGCAAAAAAGACAGAGAAGCTCTGAAAAAGAGCACTGGTGCTCCTGGCTCACTCTCTTTGTCCCAGTTTCTAAGACGACCGGTTTGGCACTGCTGAACACTGTCTGGGCTAGGGTAGAACAGCCCTGGTTACAAATACCACAGCGAAGGTCCTGAACTCCCCACTCAAAACCAAGTTTAAAG